GAGAAGAAGGAGATGCGGGGATAGGTGAGGAGACGCGCTGGGGTGCTCACAGGGCACTGGGGCTATGGGGAGAGGTGAGGCTATGGGGGGCTCACCTAGGCAGATGTGGGCTGGGGGGCTCACCTGGGCAGGGCCTGTGGGAGGGGAGCGGGGCTGCGGGAGCTCACCGGGGCAGGTTTGCAGGGCACGGGGGGTGTGTGGGGCTGAGGCTGTGGGGCAGGGTGGAAGCAGCAGCGTGGAGGTGGGATGGGAAGGGTGATCTCAGCCCTCCTGGGTGCGGGGCAGCGGGCAAGCGCTTGGCTGGGTGGCTGTGTGTGTGGTGTGAAGGCCGTGAGGCTGGAGGCTTGTCCTATGGCGCTGCCGGTGCTGGAGGGGATTTCCACTCCCTTCGCTTCCAAGCCTTGTTTGCCATTCAGTGTCGAGATCTCTCGTGGCAATGCCAAGACTGCGCGGGATGTTTGAAAGCATCGGGGTTGGATACAGGCAGGGATGGGCTGGCTGGTGCCAATGCTGCCTCTCCAGCTTGCCCAAAGGATGTCCAAACCTTAGTGCCGCTGGCTTTTAGGAAAGAAAAATCTCACCTGTGCGTATCATATTTCCCCATGGATTGGGCGTTGCTATAGAGCTGGGAAATACCTAAAGTCTCATCTCCCCAGAAGTCAGTGGGATCTTGCCCTGAGTTTTATCCCAGGGATCTTGCCCTGAGTTCTGAGTTTTATCCCAGGGATCTTGCCCTGAGTTTTATCCCGGGGCTGGCCTGCAATCCCTGCTGCCGTGGGGGAGCCCAGTGGAGCCGCGGCCCCGGGACCCATGGTTGCTGCTCCTGTGCTGGAATTGCTGTTGCTGAAATCAGCACTGCCTGTAACAGGTTGTAAAAGAGGGTGAGCTTCTCATCCAGTTCCTTCCCTATATTGTTTTTAACAGTTTATTTAGACTTTCCTGATAAAGTCAAGCCTTAACTAAACCCATCATCTACGGGCATGCTCTTAACAGCCTCTTTCTTTTACGTTGTGGTTTGTTGGTTTTTTTTTTCCCTTTTTAATGAAAGAAAAGGAGAGGGGGAACCGATCAGGACTGATGATGCCCCATGTGATAATCATACGATATTGTGGCTGCAGTTCCTTCCTCTGCATACCAATGCTTGTTGCGTCATACCTGGGCCACAGGCTTCCGAGGAGGAATGTCGCTGGATCTCTGTTTGCGGGAGCTCAAATTCCATCCGTGGAAAGTCTTGGGGTGGGGGGAAACCCCGCGTTCGTCAGAGCTGCGCCCTCGGAGCAGAGGCATGTCAGGTGTCTGCCTAGCATCTCTCTTATCGCTGATCCTTAGCTCTGTTGGCCGAGATCCTCCCGTGCTACCGTCGCGGGCTGCGTATTCGTGCTGCATGGATGCTCCTTGATGGTCAGGAGCGCAGCGAAGGGTCTGTCTTCTGCTGTAGGGTCCAGCTCCTTCCTCGGGATCACTTCAGGAGAAAACCAAATTGGGGATGGAAGAAGGGAAAGTTCAAAGCTTGATGCTTCCCAGAGCTTTTCTTTCCCAGACCTGCTCATCCAGAAGGAAGAGGCTTTTAGCTGATGAGGGTATTGGGGATTCCTGTGCCTGGTAATTCCTCTGCCTTGAGGCAACGTTGCTTTCTTGGGATGTTTACTGTGGGTGAAAACTACCCTTGAATACCATTGCGTCTCACCCACGGCTCCCAGCCTGGTTTCTTCCTGTGTTTTGCAAGACTGTTGGGTTAGTCAGGGATGGCAGCCCTCGCCTGCCACGGGCTCTGCTGCGGGCTGGTGTACTCGAACTGCACTTGCTGGGGAAGGTGGTGTGGGCCGATAACCTTATCGTGCACTTGTGCAAGCTCCGCTGAGTCGCTGTTTCGTGAAAAGCAATGAAATCCTGTGCCTGAGGGGCCTTTCCAAACAGCGTGGTGTTTTTGCTCTGATCACCTTCACGGCCTGGCAGAGCTTGAATGGGGTAGAAACCTTTTTTTATTCCCCCACGGGGACAGTGAGGCAGTGGGACAGTTCCTCAGTCCCTGAAGACTTTCAAGACCACAGTGGGTAAAGCCCTGAGAGCTGCTTGTGGCTGGGAAGTAAAAGCAAGACTTATCTCCTAAGCTGGATAGAAAAACACTTGATAAACTTGCAAACCTTCCCAGCTGGAGAAAGCAGCAGCAGGAGACGCAGAGCCAGAAGCTGTTGGAGGGATGTGGATTTGATTCCTCCAAGTCAGGGTCTGGAGATGGTCCCGTTCCCGGACCGCTCGGGGGGTCTGTGCCGTGGTGGCGGTGGGGGATCACCCTCTCCGTGGCCTGGCCGGTCTCAGCGGTGGTGTGTTTGGGTCTGCGTCACCCCTCTGCAGCCCCGTGACCACCAGATCTGCCGCAACCGGTTTTGATGCTCACACCCTTCCTTGTACAAGCGCGGGAAGTGTCCGGGGAGGAGGAGGAGGGGGGATCGGCTCTGTGGATGGCTGCAGATGGCCAGGCTGGCTCAAGGGACAGCTTGCCTCTATTGTTTCAGCCTTGCAAGGCAGCTCGTGACTCACAGAAGAAATATTTCCTTTAAGAGGCGGGTTTCATGCCCGGCGTATGGGAGAGAACGGGGAAAGTGCCTCTGCCAGACTGTCCCTGCCATGCAGCACACAGCGTGGCCGGGCATCACCCCCTGCTGTAACCCAGGGTAGAGGGGCAGAGGCTGGAAGTAGGGGCAGGTTTAGATCCATTTATAGCCACGGAGTGGCTGTGCTCTGTGCTGGTTGAGGTGCCAAGGGCACCGTGCCCCTCGGGGACATGGAGTGCCCAAAGGCCCCCCAAACCCTGATGGGGCGTGTGGCCGTTCCTCTCCAGCATCGTCCCCCCGCAGCTGGAGCGACCCAGCGGGTACAGAAAGAGCTGAGCCAGCAGAAAGGTGCACGGTGAGCTGGCGGAAACGGGGCCGTTGGCTTCCCGATCCGCAGCAAGATAACAGGGATCATACGGAAACGCTGGAGGCCATGCTGTTCCCTGGGAGCCCTGAGCAGCCCGGGTGTTTCTTGTGGGCACAGCAGCCACATACCAGCCTTGACACCGGGCCGGTTTCCTCCCCACAAACGCCCTCCCTGTTCCTCTTCCCTACCGTTCCATTTTCTTCGGTGCTGTTGGTTCATGCACTCAGAAATTGGGGAAGGAAAAGGGGCCTGATGTTATCCTAAGGAAGCGTTAGCGAGCCTTTGCCTTGCTGATAACCTGGCACACGGGAATCCCTCTGCAAACCTCCTCCTTGTGCCTTGCCAAGGGAATAACCACCCTGGGATGGGGGAAGTGCCCTTCGCCTGCATCAAGGGCAGGTTTGGCCGCTGGGTCCAGCGGCTCCGAGCCATCCCAGCTCTCCTCTCCCGCTTCGCCTGAGCGCACTGGGCAGACCAGCTCTTGCCCTTCTCTTTCTTCCCTTGCCCGGTGGACTTGGGGTGGTTTTTAACCCAGGTTTTTTGTATTTTTTTAACAGGAGGCTGTGTTGGGAGTTGCTGCAGTAGCACTGGATAGGAGGGACAAGTCGGATCCCTTGGACGCAAGCAGGGAAGGAGAAGAGTTTTACCAAGTCCAAGACAGCGATCTCTATTGCAAGAAGTGCCCGGCGGGTAAGATGGTCTCAGACGTCGCAGCACGCGCAGCCTTGCCCTGTTGCTGCCTGCAGAACCCGTGTGTCCCTGCTCCTTGCGAGGAGGCAGCGGGTGCTCTGGCTCTCCCCTGCTCTGCTGTCATGAGATCTAAGGACTCATTACATAAATGTTTTCCTTTTAATGGTTCCTAATTTGCCTCTTAAATGCACTGACAGCAGAATCGACTCCCTTTCTGCAAAGACATTTCTGTCCTGTGCTCTATGTTCACAGATAGACCCTTTCTTTCTCCTCTACCCTTTCTTGTCAGGCACCTACGTTGCAGAGCACTGTAAAGAGAAAAGTGGCTCCAGCAAGTGTTTGCCATGTAAAGAAGATGAATACATCGAATACCCAAATGACTTTTCCAAGTGCCTTGGCTGCCGGACGTGTAGGGAAGGGATGAGCTGGTGTGTGAGAGGGCGATGCTGGCTGATAGCAGGGGCTGGGTTCGGCTGACCAGAGACCTCTCTATTTAAGAGCACGGTCACCTGCAGCGTCCCCAAAGAGTGGCTCAGGGTGCGGGGAGCAGGCTGGGTCTGGAACTGGTGTAGCGGCTTGTGCCAGACCTACGTCTCCGTTCAATGCAGCATCCCTTGTGCAAAGCTTCGACACGAGACCTCCATCCAGCAAGGACCAGGAGGACTGGGCTCACGGCAGCGTTGTAGGCTGCTGGTGAAGCTTTGATGCGAGCGTTGCTTTTCTCTTGGGCATGGTGAGGTTTGGGGCAAGAAAGGGTAAGGCTGAAACTCCACAGCAAAGAGTACATTGGTCTTCCCCAGGCTTGTGGGTCAGCTCGGGTCATTAGCCTCGTTAACGAAGGAAGGGGGTGGAGGAGCATGGTGCGGAGGGGCTGGGGTAGAGCTGCCTCTCCTCTCGCCCACAGATCAGGTGGAGCTGAGTCCCTGCCGAGCCATCAGCGACACGCAGTGTGCCTGCAGGAACGGGACCTTTTGCTCCCCGGACCACCCCTGCGAGATGTGCCAGAAGTGCCGGCCCCGGTGAGTTAGGTGACGCGGCAGATCCCACCAGGATCTGTGCTGGGAGCCCCAGCTGCTGAGCCTGCCCCATCTTCCCCTTTCCCAGGTGTGCCAAGGACGAAGTGGAGCTGGCTCCCTGCACACCACACAGCGACCGCCAGTGTGGTCCTCCCACCGACACCTTCTCTGGCTCCTCTAGTAAGTGGGGGGCTGCTGGAGGAGGGGAGACAAGCTGAGGGACAGAGGTGTGAGCTGCTGCTGAGGAGATGAGAAGCAGCTCCCCCCATGCCCTGTTTTATCTGCTTTAGACTACTTGATTACGATCATCGTGGTGCTGCTGGTGGCAGTACCTGTGGTTATCCTGCTTGTGGTCTTCCTCTGGAAGCGCTGCTGCTGCCGTTCTCCAGGTGAGCACCAGGTGCCGGGGACCCCCGCAGCACCTGTCCCGGCTGGGGGCTGTGCATGGGTGTGGGCTGGGTGGGAAGAGGTACCTGCCTGGGGAAAGAGGGATCACACAGCACTGTTTTCATCTTCCAGGAGATGGGAGAGACCTGAGCAGAAAGTCCTGCAATGTGGTGGTGAGTTGCCAGGATGGCAGGAGGGTGGTGGCTCTGTTTGCAGGGCTGGGATGAGGTCCCCCCTCTGCTCCCCACTTTGTCTGCAGCTCCTGGGAAGGCTGAAGGAGCTGGGGAATAAGGCTCGCCCCTGCAGGGAGGTGGTAGAGCTGGACCAAGCAGAGGAGGGTCTCTGGTAGTGCCCTGCTGTATGTGGGGCACTTGCAGCCCCCTCTCCAGTGCCGTTATCACTTCCCTGGCAGAGGTGCCGGCACATCCAGGGTCCCTGGTGGGGACCCTGGGTTAAAGGGAGGGCTGTGCTGGAGCGGGGCCCCTGCAAGCTCAAGATGAGCAAGCGAGCCGTGCCCTTGAAACCATGGCAGGGTGGATGCCACCACCGTAGATGGTGTTCCTGCGGGGCCAGTGTGAGCCCTGCCTTCCCGGGACCACCCAACTCAACTGGTTTCTGCTTCTCTCCTGCCACAGGACTACCTGGTGCGGCGGCTGACAAGGTACCAGAGTGGGGGCCCGGGGACACAGGACAACATCCGCAATGAGCTGTTCTCCCGGGATCAGCTACTCCCCAGGGTGACAGGTTCAGTGACTCCCAGCGCTCCGGGACCGCAGGTACGTGAGCGTGGCCCTCTGCTCTGGCGTGCTCGGCCGAGGTCTGATGCTTTCCTCTGCCTTCACCAAGCTGATCAGCTTGGGGGGGCTTCCAGGGCTGGACCGTGGTTTCTGCACAGAGATGGCGAGGGGTCTCTTGTCCTCATTCTGGGTTCAGGACTGCAAAATCTGCTTGTTGCAGTCAGCTACCAGAGTCCTCTGCAGATTTAATGCTGATGCTGAGCAAACAGACAGCTCTTCTCTCCCTGGCTGGGACCCATGAGGCAGCTCTCCCCTGCTCGTGGCCTGCTGTCATCCCAAAGCTAGGAAACGATGGGTGTCCTGGGGGTGGTGGTGGTGATCTCCTGCCCCAACAGCCCCCGGAGAGAGGGTCTCCAACTCCCCCGTTAACGGGGCTTGGGGACAGCGTTTGTGCGGGGGGCTTGGTGGGTGCTATAGGACGTTGTCTTTCCAGGTGACAGGGCCGAGGACCTCATATCCTGGTGTGAAACCCAGGAGGAATCTGGTTCCAGTGCAAGGAAAAGACCCTGTTAGCCGTAAGTGTTAGGGCCCAGGGGATGTGGGGGGGGGACAGGGAGGGGGTGAGCCTGCGGGATGAGCTTTCTGGGCAAAATCCTTTCTGATCCAGCTCTCCATGTTCTACCCTGTTCTCTGAGCTTTTTCCCTTCCCCCCTCTAGTTTTGCGACGC